CCCCCCCGAACCTTTTTTTCATCAACACATCTTTTATGTGCAAAGCGAAAAGCCTCACCATAAAGCCAGAGATATCGATAGGGTAACTACAGGACAATCCCTTGATGTAATCACACGAGGCAAACGTGAAGCCAGTTTTAAGTACATGTACTTACGAGATCTCTCCATACACGCAGAAGGCGTCACGGAGCTGGTGCTGCTCAATGTCACTGCTGAGGTCCCCTACGAACACATGGAAGTGTTCTGAAAATAGAAGAAAAAACAACAACATGGGTTAGTCCAGCACTGCAGGGCGCATCAGTTACAGAGAATCCACAACAGTTTTGTTTCGACGGAAAATTTATAACGACCAACCCTGGCTTGAAATGCCCAGCCAGTCGCAAAGTCATTGTTTTTGTAAGTTTTTTGTTTTTAGGGCTAATAACACAATTTGGCACTAATAATACAATTATGTCATACAAACGCCAGAGATTTGAGGTTTTAAGATAGATTTGATAAGATAAGATAAGAGAGTAACACGAGAGCAACAAACATCAAAAAGAAGGAGATCAGGTTGATAGATGTTTAATGGTAAAGAAAGAGAAAACCACACCAGAACATCAGCTAACTACCCACAGATCAAAGTCAGGTTTTTAATTATGGCAGCTCAGCCTGACAACAGATACACTTCGCCAGGAATATATTCAGGACACAAAAGATCCAGATCACACAACGACACCCACCAACCACCACTTCTCATTTACAAGGACAGCGGGGAGTCGTGTGAAATATGTATGAATAATTCCCTAGCTAGCATCGAACCCTTGACCCTCGGGGTGTGAGCTAGGGCTGCCTGCAATCAACAGGCAGGGCCCACTTCACGAAGACGACAGCTTGTAACACCCCACAAACGGTTACACGGACGCTGGGACGCCCCCCCCCCCTCAAGCCACACCATTTCAATATCGTTGAAGGCAAGAGAGATGTGAAAGTGGCCCCCAAAACGCGCTAATTAAGAACAAAATTCTGCGCTGGCCTCGCCACGCTTCTCCCACGTCGGCCGTAACTCCCGGAACGACAAAGGAAGTGGGTCACGACAAGAATGTATGACATATTTAACAGATTCCTAAAGACGCTTATATAGCACCAGGCTTTACCGACAATTATCTATAGACACAAAAATAATAAAATACAGACGACTTGACAGAAGATTAGAGAACAAAAGAGGAGAAAGAGGGGACGAGAGATCAAAGGGGATAAAATTATCATGAAATTTAAAGGCAAGGAAAGAGCATAAAACAAAAGGGAAAAAAAGAGAAAAGAAATGCCTTTTTGGGGGGCGGGGTTCAAAGGAAGGACACGAAGAAAGAAAAAAAGCAGGAGGGGAGGGGGAGGGGGGAAGATTAATACGCCCCGCGCGACAACTCAGATATATGATGCCGTCAAATTTCTAAATTACGATGAATGAGACCTATTACTACAGAGCGATTGATAAGGATAACGTAAAACAATACTAAAAAACGGGGAGCCTAAGGATCGCACTGTGTATGCATCCATTACAGCACAGACAGCTAAAATATATTACAGCTCAAGAATTTCTCTCTCCACTCAATGTCCACTTTCATCAATACTGTACAGCAGCCATTGTGCTGTACGAAACCGTCCCATGTATATCATTACAGTTACGTTACGTTAGAGGCATTCTCTTGAAGAGAAAGTATTTCTATTTCCAACATGAACAGGAGCTTCAGCATTGAATTCACTGAAGACAGGACGCATACACGTCCGTAACTTGAACTGTACAGAGAGACATTGTTAAAAGTCAGGGTTACGGTATGCCAGATAAAAAGTGTAGTTGTACAAGTTTTACTCCCCCATCTACGCTACTTAGATGATTTGGGACGCGGGCTGCTTCGGCCTCGTCTGTCAGGCTAAACTGAGCAGAAAAACGGAGACACTCGATAAAAATATTCTACACACAGGAATTGAACTAATGTCTCTCGGGCAAAGACACAGAGAAAAGTGCCTGTATCTATCGCTCATTCTTCAGTCACTCGCCTACACTGTTAACTCAACAACCGTCTTTGACATTCGCTGACCCAATCCCTATGCACTCACTCAACTAGTTCAATCGTCTTTCTTTCTTTCTCTACTTTGACCTGATCTTTTCTTAAGAAAGAGAAAGCTCTTTCGAAGTGCGCCACCCACTCAACCCCTTTCGGATTTACTGAGCTGAATATGACGTAATATCCCGATGGACGACTCTCCGGGGAGAAGTAGATGAAAAGGTCCGGGATCTGATTTCTTCATTTCATCAATACTGGAAACCGGGCGCTGGGAGGTGTGGAGAGCGGAGGGATAGGGGTGGGATGGGGGGCTGGGGCGCCCAAGCAAGATGGATGGTCGGATCTCGTGGACGAGGGACTCCGCTATCGATCACGGAGACGGGACACAGAGTCATGATCCCGGGCCCCCGACGGTTCAAACACTTTGGGGCCAGGGGGTCGAGACGCTGACATCACCGTGAAGGCTTGGAGACTTATTAATTTGAAATTCGTGAAAGTTAAACACAAAACACGTTCACTATCGCTGCCAACCCCCCCCCCCCCCCC